AATTCGGTATCCATATAGGGAAAAGGCTCTAAATTATTAATCTAAAATTTCAATCCGATCCGTCGATCCGTATCTCCGCTACTCATTAAGCATCGAACTCTACACCAGCATGAACCGATTACATTGGGTGTACGGTAGCGCCGGTATGTAGATATACGATAACAAACTCAGTGTTTATGTTTCTGTAAAATACGATTTAATATAAATAGATTAAACAGTGAACTGAATGATATACAAGATAACAAACGTCTATCATGATCTACTGACCTCCACCAAAACAACAACAGTCATTTACGCTCGTTCGCCACGACCATTGCGTTACCACGGCGACCAACGAAAACAGCTCAAAAGTTATTAGACAAACCTGATTAGAGGACACGGACCGCATGCCTCGTGTTATGACCGCGAGGGCGCCACCTGCACGTAATTTCCGCCGCGTCAGGCAGCCAACCTCGGGGTCCCGTTGATGAATCATCGGACGCTGAGTGACACGGCAGCGTGACCTATGACCTATGACCTCCCACCCCGCTGCCACATCAGCTTCACGGCAAGACATTCTACGAACAATGCTCAGTAACGGAGAAGTCAGTTTGAGACACTTTGGCATGCACACGTACATATGTTGTGAATGCTGGCTACCTCACTCAGACGGCTCGATTACTTAGTTTATTATCTGCTACAATTGCATAGATAGATAGATAGATAGATAGATAGATAGAGAGAAAGAATGAAAGAGAAAGAATGAGAAAGAAAGAGAGAAAGAATGAAAGCGAATAAGAGTCGGAGAGAAAGAGTGCGAGAGATAGAGAGCGAGATAGAGAGAAAGAGAGACACAGAGATAGCGAGACAGAGACACAGATACATAGATAAATAGAGAGAGATGTGTGCCTTTATAATATCTATACAGGTTTTATCTGCCTTTATAATATCTAGAGATAGAAATCATTGTGGAAACCACGTATGTTTCGAACCCCGCCCTGGCCTTGTTACAAAATCAATCGTCATAGAAAAATCGTCAATGCTATGTATATATATATATATATATAAAAACAATACGAAAGTTCAATCCACCACGTTGCACTTTTGATCCATCACTTCAGATCGTGCAAGGCGCCAGACCCATACACCAACAACACAAGTCCTTTTGTTTCTGTATGAACAGATAGGGGGCGCTACAAGCTGGGTCACGACCTTGAAGCGATTTACCGATTCCTGAATCGACAATAATGGAGTAATGCTATAAGGTAACTTCTCGATAGTCTTTCTTAGCGCAGTCTCGCGATTCGAGGCGCGTCTCATTCGTATAACAACGTCGTCACGATAACAATGGGTAGATATTTACACACGCACACACACCCACGCGGGAAACTTCCTCCGTCTTTCCCCCAGGATCGACGCAAATGTGCATCCCGTAGAAAAATAGCATTCCGCTGCCAGCGAGCAGTGGTCGAGTCACGCACCACTTCTCACCGGAGCGAGGATTGTACGGTGCTGCCACCTGTGGCAGCAATAAAGCTGCTCAGGAAAAACTCGCTGTACGATCGACCTCTGACATCATCCGAGGTCACGTCTGCCATAATTAGCGATAACGAGGTCCGGGCTTGACAAAGCCGCGTTAGCAAATTTCGCACGCTCCGGGTAACTGTGGTTGAATCAAAATCATCGCAGCATCGACGACTCGTTGCCACGGCGATAATCGAGATGGGGAAGACGATACTTTGTTCACAGTCCCGTTCGGCTGTGGTGATGGCTGGCTTCACACACCTGTGTGCTCATGAAGGAAGCTGGCTAGCTTCACACACCTGTGTGATCATGAAGGAAGCTGGCTGGCTTCACACACCTGTGTGCTCATGAAGGAAGCTGGCGGGCTTCACACACCTGTGTGCTCATGAAGGAAGCTGGAGGAGGTGATCAGGTAAGAAGGTCCAGCTCGTAAGGTGAGTGTCTCGTATGAACGGGGCTTTCAGTCACCAGCGCACGATTCCGAGCTGCAAACAAACAAACAGAGATTTTCTTATCAAACTCATCTCTTACTAGTATGCAATTAAATCATTATTAGAAATTATTATTCTACTTTAATTCCATTTTATTTTTGTTGACTATCGTGCATCATCATCATCATGGCATGCATCATCATCATCATCAATCATCATCATCATCATGCAATCATCATGCAATCAGTCATCATCATCCCCTCATGCATCATGCATGCATCATCATCATCATGTCAATCCATCATCCTGCATCATCAGCGAATCATAACTTCTCCCCTCCCTCCTCCTTCCTTGCCGACTTCTCGCCTCCTCGCTGGCGTTCCTGACCCTCCCGTTGCCCTTCCTGCCGTCCCCTCCTCCCTCCTCCTTCGCTCGCTCCGCTCCTCACTCCACTCGATATCTGCGCGGGTGACCTTTGTGATGCTAGCATCTGGTTTAGGCTGAGCAGCTTCTCTCTGTGTCCTGCGGGCTGCCTTCTCAGCGTCTGGCTTCAGTGAGCCGCGTCGTTCGCGGGAGGTGAATCGGGTCTGCTGTGCTGCTGCTGCTGCTGCTGCTGGCGATGCCTGGCTCCTGATCAGGCCTGCTCATGTTTGAGCTGCGATGCAGAGAGATGTGTTAGAGAGAGAGTTAGAGGAGAGAGAGAGAGTAGAGAGAGAGAGAGAGAGAGAGAGACAGAGAGAGAGAGAGAGAGCCGAGAGGAGAGAGAGAGAGAGAGAGAGAGGAGAGAGAGAGAGAGAGAGAGAGAGAGAGAGACAGAGAGAGATGAGAGGAGAGAGAGAGAGGGAGAGAGGAGAGAAGAGAGAGAGAAGAGAGAGAGAGAGGAGAGAAGAGGAGAGAAGAGAGAGAGAAGAGAGAGATAGAGAGGTAGAGAGGAGAGAGGAGAGCAGAGAGGAGAGAGAGAGAGAGAGAGAGAGAGAGGAGAGAGAGACGAGAGCGAGGAGAGGAGAGAGAGAGAGAGAGAGAGGAGGAGAGAGAGAGAGAGAGGAGTAGAGAGAGAGAGAAGAGCAGAGAGAGAGAGAGAGAGAGAGAGAGAAGAGATGAGAGAGAGAGAGAGAGAGAAGAGTTCAAGAGCGAGAAGAGAAGACAGAAGTAGAGAGAGAGAGAGAGAGAGAGAGAGAGAGAGAGAGAGAAGAGAGAGAGAGAGTCGTAGAGAGAGAGAGAGAGAAGAGAGAGAGAGAGAGTATGAGAGAGAGAAAGAGGAGTGAGAGAGAAAGAGAGAAAGAGAAAGAGAGAAAGAGATTTAGAGAGAGAGAAGGAGTGAGAGAGAGAGAGAGAAAGAGAGAGTCTTAGCATGCACACACGACAACGTACAAATAATAAAGTGCACAAAAAATGCATCGTTCATTCGTTAACCAAATCCCACGTTGGGGTTCCAATCAACAACTAACGAACAACTAACGAGCCTAACGATGATGACTCACGTCTCGGAGTGGAGCAGCATCTTCTTGATGCTGTCAGCCTTGTGCTTGCGTTCCTGCAGCTGTTCTGGTGTCAGTCTCTCAGGCTCCAGCTCCACATAGCGCTGAGGGATCAACACCTTCGACGGCAACGACAGCTGCAAAAACACGACAAGCGACGCCATCTAGCGAGACGCACGACAAACTTTTTTCCCGCTTCCCCTTTACGACTACCGCCATCTTTTTCGCCGACGCACCCAGAATTTTTTCTTTTCGAAAATGTGTGTTACGCTTCTCGGATTTATAAATATCTGTACGCCGAAAGTAACAATGCAGCGGCAGACGGCAATCGCCTAACGTAACGGGTAAGTCAGCGCGCGGCGCCCCCTGGTGGTCGCTCACCCCCATATCAATGGAGTACATGTTGATATGCTCTTCCTTCTGCACAGACTTAACGATGTCCGGAGTTCCGTCACGAATCGCTAGATCATCCTTTGCTCTTGCCTGCAACAATGATAACAATGATAACGACCATGACCGGCCGTCAGTCATAACGCAGCGCCCTCTATGTCACGTAGATAGCCCTGGCTGCAGCACAGCGCCCCCTACATAATGTAGACCCGTCCTTCGCCCACAACGCAGCGCTCACTATGTCACGTAGATACCAGTAATACACACTACTTAAGCGTCCGAACACCCCCCACTAGGGCTACACGCATGCCTATCCCCCCAGCATCCGGACACACCCCGCCGGGTCTCCCGGATACCTCCCCCAGCGTCCGGACACCCCCGCCAGCCCCATGCACGCCTCCCACTTCAGTATCCAGATAGATACCCCCGTCGGGCCCCACGCACACCTCCCCCACAGAATCCGGACATCAGCCCCGGGCCCCACACACGCCTCCCCCCGGCATCCAGACATCCCCGCCGGGCCCCCC